AATTAATCACTTTTATATAGAAAATGCATTCGTAAGTATGTGAACATGTGAAAAAAAAAAAAGTATGTGAATGATGAAAATTATTATAATAAGACTTAGATAATATGATAATGATGCAATAATTATATTTTCATTAATATAATATATAATATTTTAAATCAAGAAAGGTCACTACTGAATATTTTGAATATGATTCTAAATCAAAATTTTGTGATAGGATAGTTTGATTATTTACAAGATATTTAAATTCAAATAATAAAAATGTTCAATTTAAAAGTTCAAAAAATAATAAATATAAAGAGGGGTCTAACTAGCTAGAACCTTTAAACCTTTTAATTTAGCCATTTATATTTGAAATTGGTCTGTTAATCTAAACTTAAACCGATTAACTAATTCTCCAATTCAACCATTGGTTGTGATTAGTTATAACTGATTCTATGTTGAAGCAATTTTTGGATTAGTCAAAGCAAACTAGAGTATTTGTTCATAATTTGTATATTGTACTTTAAAACCATGTCATGCTCTAAGCCTATGTAAGGCTTCGTTTGGGACGGGTTTTTTTATTGCTTCTTAAAACGGAGTTCTAATACAATTTTATTTTTTAAAATTTTTGTACTAAAACTCCGTTTTAAGAAACAATAAAAAAGCCGTCCCAAATTAATAAAGCCTAAGTCACACACTTAAATCTTTTATTGCGATTGATCATGTTTCATACCTCTAAGATAATTTTAATATGAATTGGTCAAACTAAGTGGTTAAACCTTTGATGGTCATGTGCTAACACTTTTGAACCATAATTAGCTATGTTTATGCTCTTAGGGACTTTTCAATTCAAAATAAATATCTAAGCCGTACTGAGAAAGGTTGAGATTCTTTAGCATATTATCACTTTAATCTAGTCAAGATATCTTATAACATGCAATCTATAGCTATTAATCAGAGTCTTTTAATTATGTAATTATGATGATTTACCCTCATAAGAAACATTAATCGACTATATCTAAAATAAATCTCAATCATTCTTATCAACTAGAAAAGGAAAAACTCTAGAAAAGTAAACTAATTTGACATTAAAATATTATGTGACTCACATCCTTCTCTAAATTTCAAAAGAAAGTGAAGAAGGCTCTTGTAGCTCATGAATCTTTCACACTCCACATATCTCTGATGAATATATTTGATGTGGAACATCATTAGCTAAATAAATCCTTAGGAGTAGTTTATCCTTTATTAGCTTAGGTGTATGCTCTTGTGATCTTTTTCGCCTCACTATGCCCCCGCTCCCACTTAGTTCTCCCCACAATATTATAGATGGTTTATCTCCCTATCTTTGAATTTCACCATGCTCTATCCTTATTAACATTCAAATGAGTGACATGGGAGTTGATTCGCTGCTTTGTCTAAACTCATACAATTAACATTTGACATAATTACTTCTTAAATGGTATGTAGTTTATCTTTAAATACAATATTCTAATTTGGGTCTTTATCGATAAGAGTTTATTCGCCTTCATTTTTCTTATTATTTTTATAAATTTACAAAGATTGTGAAGCCTAATTATCTCATTGTTGTGAAGATAATCTATGGGTTAATAATAACCCTCCTCCAATAAACCTTAGTTCTAAGTCATGTTAAATCTAGCACTAAGTTCCAGTGTAATCTTAATTTAGCAAAGGTCACTCTAGGCAATTCGACCCCCATTATTGTAAAAGACCTTTGATCACTAAAGGGTGGAATTATTCTATGCAGTCACCGAATGACGTTCAGAGGCGAATGAGAACATGCCACATCATTTTTTTCCTGTGTACTGCTCGGCACCGGGTGACGTGGCGCTTTTTGATTCGCCTTTGAACTATTCGGTGACCGCACAAGATAATTTCTCCACTAAATAAGAGGAATAATTGGACAGAAGAATCGATCAGATTTCTTAACTTTTATTTTAAGTACCATCCATCTCCACAATGTAAGCAGGAGGTTTAATGTTATTATGTCAAACATACAACACTAATATATTTTTTCTCAACTTTCCTTCTCTATGGATAAAAAAAAAAGGTTTAGATAATTGAGATTTGAGGGTAGCTCTATGATTTTTATCAGCCTCATTTGGTTACTCATACATAAAACAATATTTATCTATGATGATTGTTTCTTATGCAATTTTTTATACGTACGTCAAAATCAAATCATTATATTTGAGGAAGGATTAGAATTTTAAACTGGTATTACAATAAAATAGTAGCGATTAAAAATTGTAATTACTTTTAAAATATTATTTTGCACAAAAATCCAAATAAGCTTTTTATAATTTTTTTTTTAAAAAAAAATTGTTAGAACTTTTCCACTGCGGTGAGCTCCTATCCATTTTCAAATGACTAAACGCGCTTTACAGCTATTGCATAAGCTAATCAATAACGCTTGGGTTAAAATAACTTGGATCCTGTGAGGAATCGTGCCGAAGAAGCTTGGATTTGGTAAATTTATAATCAAAGCAAGATTCTCATGCAAAAGATGTTCATTAATCGTCGTTGTTGTGCTTTTATTTGATTGCAACAAATCTTATGGCTTCTTGAAAAAAAAAAAAAAACATGAAAAAGAGATTGGAGGAAGAAGGTTAAAAGATTAAATGAAGAAGGTCAAAAGAATAAACGTAAACCCACCAAGGATTTAGGGTGGTTGGTAGGTGAGCACGGTTGGGAACCCCTCACCCCGGGTTTGAATCCCCTCTAATGCGACATTGCCTCTTCAGTGGGGCAAGGCAAGTGTGAGCCCGATGCCGGCGAGTGGCCTCGCTAGGTTCCGCTGAGGAATTAGTTACGTCGTCAAGCGTTACCGCAGCTCGGTAACGCTCGGTACCACAGCTCGATATCACTGATGTGGCTGCACCTGATTCATCTCCAGACGAAGAGCTGCATCCGATCTCCACACAAAATAATTTATCATTACTTTCTTATGTATTCCTCATAAAAAGACATTGAAGAGAACAACAAAAAATATTCTACCCATTTTTCTTAGCAGCTTAGGCTTCCAAAAAAACATGTTGAGCTAGCTAGACGGTTTAGATATATGGAGTGTTTAAAATGGCCTTTTTGTGTTACTATGCTCTAACCCAATAAGAAAAGCTAGTTACTCAAAGGTGCACTCCAACTACTCTCTCTTAATGTCATTTTCTCTGGCCAAGTGGACTTCGAACAAGTGTGGATGGGTGGTCCCTGATTCTTTTTGGATAATCTTTTTGTTATGATAAATGAATTTTGGATTAATAAGAGAGATGACAAAAATAGATATAAAAAACTTGGAGTTCGAGGAATTATGTGACATGAGAGCTATTCTCAAGAGGGCGTTGGCCTTTTTCGTTTGGTCGGTAGGATGGTAATCGGGCAACATAGGTCAGAAGGATCGTAGTCAGGTGACAGAGGTTGAAAGGATCGTAGTTGGTGGACGACGATGGTCGGAGGGAGGGTAGTCAGCGGGTGACGGTGGTCGAAGGGACAGTAATCAACGGATGATGGTGGCCGGAAGGACCATAATCAGCAGGTGATTGAAGTCGGAGGAGCCGTAGTTGGTGGGCGACAGTGATTGGAGGGACCATAGTGGACGAGCAACGGTGGCCGGACAAAGGCCCGACGATGGCTGTCGAATGGAGGTCTAATGGCAATGGTCGAGCAGAGGTCCAGTAGCAGCGGCCTGGTGGCAAGAGTTCGTCAATGGTGGTGCCAAGGTGGAACTTTGGGATCCTTCAAGCCTCAGAGTTCTCTCAAGTATCTAGCCTAGGGTTTAAGCCTCCAAAAGTCCAAACCCCATCATGTATAAATTGTGGTTCTATTTATAGAAATAAAGAGTGATAGCCTCCACTCATATACAAGGTTTTAAAAACTAGACCGGACCAGCCGGTTCAATCGTGAACCGACCAGTTGTCCGATCCGGTCCAGTTCAAAAATCGGCTTTGCAGAGAACCGACATGAACCGGCGGTTCAACCAATGAACCGATCTAGGTTGGAAAGAACTGACCGGTTTTAGAAAAAAAATTATGTTAAATAAAATATAAATAATATATTTTACTTAATTATATTTTTTAAAAAATAAATTTTTAATTAAATAATGAGTTTTGTAATACTATATTATATGGATGTCATCTCATGAATTAATTTTTGTTAGAAAAGAGGGAACTATATAAAGAGCTAAAAGTCAACATCTCATACTCCTTCATGATGTGGGAATAAAAAAGTTACATGAATGTTTTATGAGCTTGAATATGAGTTTGGACTTTATTTGACAATTAATTTGGATTGGTTGGGCCACAAATTTGGGCTAGTTTGGCCACTAATTTTGGCTAGTTGGGTGCAAAGTTTTTTTAAATTTGTATTATAAATTTATATATTATAATTTTTTCATAATGTATATTATATAAATTAATAATATAAATTTATATATTATATTGAATATTAATCTTTTTACACATTTGTAAATTTAATAGTATAAATTTATATATTATATTAAAATTTTTAATTTGTTATAATGTATATTATAAGAATCTCATTTATTATAATTATAATGAAATTATTAGATATT